AAAAAAAAAAAAAAAAAAAAAAAAAAAATCATTAGTATTATTTGATTTTAAAAAAATTCTTAAATACTCTTGCTTCATCCGACTATTAGTAACATATTTAAAAAATACCTATGAAATTTTAAACGTAGAATTAACATCCTTAACATTTATAAAAAATATATAGATAAAATCGTCTTCCCAACATCGTGTAGATTTTCTCCAAACTTTTTTTTTTTTTTCTTAAAAATTTGAAGATATTAAAGTTGTTTTTAAAAATTCATAAATATTTTTTTAGACTTAATACTACTTAAAAAAAAATCTAAATTTAAGTTATAAAATTTAAATTAGAGTTAGAAGAAAGGGAATAATAAGCGAAATTGTAAAACTCGAGGCGATGAAAGTTATTTTATTATAATTTTGAAACCCCAAAGGTTATTTTAATGGCTATACAACATGTATCATTCAAGAACCCTCGTTTAAGGAAGGTAAGGCAAAGCTACAGCCTTCAGACACACACAGGGTCACCGCCATCTTAGTGTCTGCTTAAAGTCTTGGGACCATGGATGCTTTGTCCAGCTCTCATAAATATCAATGGCGGACAGCGCCTCCCCTTCTCCTCTCTCACTTCATGTGTTTGATCCACTCACACTAATCATGACTTCCACCTCTGTTTCAATTCACCGACCTCTTTCCTTTCTTTATTTGATTCAACCGTTTATACATTCATACCCTTTTCATTATCTTGGGCATGCTTGATTTGGGATCAAAACTTTTGGGTTCTGCTTATATCTAACGAAACCCACCCCGTTTTTCGCGGAATCGTGGCCCCAAATCGTTTCCAGCCCCATTTTCTTTGGTTTAGCTTTCTGGGTGCTGGAGTCTCCTTCGAAATTTGTGTTTAGAGCTTGGTTTTGGGGTTCGAGTGGGTGGAATCGAAGTGGGTTGCTCTGTTTTTGTGCTATGGTTGTGATTGAGGAGGGGAAATTGTAATGGAAGAGAGTGTGAGTGGAAAAGGCTTAAGCATTGGCCACATTGTGCCTGAAAATGAGACGCTTGGCCATTTGATTGAAGAACATGGGCGTGAGAGTAGTTCCAGCTCTGATTTTCTTACATCAGAAACCACAGGGCTTGAGGAGGAGGAGCACAGTCACAGTGGCTCTGAGGAGTCATCTTCCCTTTCTCCATTGAGTTGGTCCACTCGATTTGCTGAGGGACCCGATTGCATCAGAGCTAATGGTGCTGATAATAGGAAGCTGGAGAAGAAAGTGTCCTCATCATCAGGTAATTTAGACTCTCTTTTCTTTATGGGGTTTCTTGCTGAAAACTGTGTTGATTTGTTTGTGGTTTATGGGGTTATAGAGATTGAAATGATGAAGGAAAGATTTTCAAAACTGCTGCTTGGAGAAGATATGTCAGGCTGTGGAAATGGGGTTTGTACAGCATTGGCTATATCTAATGCCATTACCAATCTTTGTGGTATGCTTTGTCTTTGTCTCTGTCTCTGTCTCACTCATTGCCTTAACTGCTATGCTTCCAGTGTGTCTAATATTGATGCCCTTCCCCTTGTCATAGCCACTCTGTTTGGGCAACTATGGAGATTAGAGCCTCTTCCATCAGAGAAGAAAGTGATGTGGAGAAGGGAGATGGATTGGCTTCTTTGTGTTAGCGATCACATTGTCGAATTAACGCCTACTTGGCAAACGTTTCCTGATGGAAGCAAGCTCGAGGTACAGAAGAACTTCAAATCTCGTTTGGATTCGATATTAGAGTTGGATTTTTTGTTCAATACCATTGTAAGAATGTGAAACCGAGAGAATTTATGTTAGATCCCACATTGGTTGGAGAGGAGAACGAAACATTCTTTATAAGGGTGTGGAAACATCTCTCTAGCAGACGCGTTTTAAAAACCTTGAGGAGAAACCCGAAAGGGAAAGCTCAAAGAGAACAATATTTGCTAGCGGTGGGCTTGGATCGTTACAATTTAAATGCTTGTGTATTTGTAAAGCATCAATTTTCTGATGGTTTCTTATGATCTTGCAGGTTATGGCGTGCAGACCACGCTCGGATCTCTATGTTAATCTTCCTGCTCTTAGAAAATTGGACAATATGCTTCTTGTATGATTCTCCAACGCTCACTAGCTTGTGTTGCAAAACTATGAATTGTGAGATCTGTTCTAAATTTTGCAAAACACTCTTTCTGCAGGAAATATTAGATAGTTTTGAAGATTGTGAGTTCTGGTATGTTGATCAAGGGATACTGGCTCATGAGACTGATGGGTCGTCCTCTCTCAAAAGAGCACTACAGCGTCAAGAAGGAAAATGGTGGCTTCCCGTTCCTCGAGTCCCTCCCGATGGTCTCCGTGAAGACTCAAGAAGGCAATTGCAACACAAGCGCGAGAGCACAAACCAGATACTAAAAGCTGCAATGGCGATTAACAGTACGACTCTGGCTGATCTTGAAATTCCTGAACCATATCTTGAAGCCTTACCGAAGGTATGAGATGCGAAAACGGCTATGATTCTGATATCGAAAGCAATATTATTTGCTTATTTATGATCCTACTTGATTACAGAATGGAAGAGCTTGTTTGGGTGATCTTATATATCGATATATTTCGTCGGACCAGTTCTCTCCTGAATGTTTGCTTGATTGCCTTGAAATGTCTTCTGAACATCAAGCTATAGAGATTGCTAACCGAGTTGAGGCTTCGATCTATGTATGGCGGAGAAAAACAAACTCAAAACCTGCCACGAACTCGACCAAACAAAGTTCGAAATCGTCGTGGGAAATGGTCAAGGAGCTGATGGTCGATTCCGAAAAACGGGAGTTGCTTGCAGAGAGAGCAGAGACTCTGCTACTTTGCTTGAAGCAACGGTTTCCTGGTCTTCCACAGACAACCCTGGATATGAGCAAGATCCAGTACAATAAGGTCTGTCCCTACTGCAATTCTGTAAGCTTTCATATCAGTTAACCCATAGTAACTTGAGTAGATAACAATTGTTTTTGTAATTTAGGACGTCGGGAAATCCATCTTAGAGAGCTACTCTCGAGTTTTAGAGAGTCTAGCATTCAACGTCGTTGCACGTATCGATGATCTGCTTTACGTGGATGATCTCACAAAGCATTCGGATCAACTCTCATCTATATCTAAACTTGGTGTGATTTCTCACAAGAACAGCCCATTGCATTTTTCAGTGCCCGTTTCTGGAACTCCATATAAAACACCCTTTGCCACTCCAAGCTTTTCACCTGCACAATCAGCCAGCCCTGCTAAGGGAGAAAGATCACCGCTCATTCCCGGCACCAAGATTCCCCAGCGCGGGTTCGGAGTAAAAAAGGTTTTAACTGACTATCTTAGTGTTGAAGCGAGAGGAGGAAAAGAATTCAGCAATAAAATCGAAAAACCCGAGTCGTTCACAAACTCAAAACTCGACACTCAGTACCGGGGGGGAGTAGCAAGCTCACCCAGACAGGGATCGGTTGCGGACGAGTGAAATCCAAGGATGGTTTTGAGGAAGCTAAGATTCATGGCTGTATGTTTTTTTCCACTTGAATTATCACTTTTCTGCATTTCATTTTGTAGGCATAAGAAGATGTATATTTCTCTTCAGATTGAGGTGTATTTGTGTTGATGAAGTGTGAATGACTGTCAATATGAGGAATCAAATGCTTCATCTCCTTCTTGACTAACCCGTGTTTTGACTATGAAACAAAAAGGAATAAAAAATTAACGTAAGATTCATTGATGATGTTGGTTTCACATTATTTACTGTCTGAAGTATGAGTGGCCTGGACAGAACAGAACCAAAAGTAACATCAAACATTTCCAACAATTGTGGCAGCAGAATCTCTGTCTGTCCCCATCCCATCATCTGTCTTTTTTTGAGCTTTGAGCTTTTCCTATCAAGTTTATTCTCGAGGGGTTTAAAAAGATTTCCATTCTTACCCTTATAAAGAATGCTCCGTTCTCTTCTCTCTTCCTAACCGATATAGGATCTCATAGATTCGACCATACAACTGTGTCGATTTCCTACTTGAGCCTTGTTTGGCTTTCCAAGGAATAAAAGGAGAGAAAACCAGAGATTTTTCCCATGTTCATTCTGAGAAAGATATATGTATATTCAAGATTTCGATTCAGTTTCCAATGTGATACTAATAAACAAACAGCAACCCAGATCTCCTTTATGGAGGTTTAAACAACAACAACAAACAGAAGCAGCCAGCAGTAGCAGCGTTCTTTACAGTAAAATTGAGAAAGATGCTTATAACTATTAATAATTAACTTCAAAGAGATTCTGTTGTCTCGGCTGGAAAACGACAACCAGCTTTTTCTCACAACGATCTCGCTCGCATCTACCTTCATACAATAAGAGTTGAAGTAGAAGTAGTTCTTCAGCTCTATGATCCTATGTACCTGCATATTAACCTGTCACAGATAAATATACAAACCAATCACACCATCTTAGCCAAAGTCGCGAAGATATCGATCGAAACCTCGATAAGAAAGCTCGATAAGAAACTGATATAAGATACTCGAACTAACTTTGAAATTCTAAGGAGAGCTTGTGGAGTTTGGTGGTCTAGTAATAGAGAGACCCTGAAACAACAAGGAATGGTAACAAAATATGAGTATTTGAATGAAAGATAAGTTTCAACATATATCTCTATGTCATACCTTGCCACCAATTTCCTCTTGAAGCACTCCCAGAATCATCTTCTCCCCCCTCCTTGAACTGAAACATATCACCAGAATAAGTCAAAGCAGATCGTATGAACGAAAAAAATGAATGAGAAACTATACGAAATTGGTTAAATCTGAAAGTAGACAATGAATTATGTTCATGTGATGAAAGATATAAAGCTACAAAGTGATGTGTTTAATACATTTACCACAGAGTTCACCTCGAAATTGTGGGAATTCTGAGGATGAGCATAAACGTCCTGGCCACCATAATAGATTGATGAGCTAAGATGACATGGTTGAGCTCCTTGTTCCTGATAAATGGAACTCATGTCTTTATCCTTCTTCTCCTGTCTCTCCTTTTGTCTATGACTACCATTATCATCTGCATATACATCTCAATGACTATCTTTTGAAAAGAATATTATCAAGCAATTTTCAGAACAAAGTTCATGTGTAAACAATCAGAAACTGGCTCAGAATCATTGGATATTGCAAGTATGAAGCCTTGGTTATGAATTGTATCCAAAACTAGCTCTTAAGAAGATTTCATTCTCAACCCTTTTCAGAACACTTGAAATCATTTCAAACTTAAGAAATTAAGGACACTAAAACGAAACACAAACCTTGAGCTTCAGCGTTGGGGATCCATGGCCCATTCACAGAATCCCTCTCTCCCTCTTTGGCTTGAGAGAGCAGAGAGTCTCTCCCTAACACCTGAATAAGAACAAGCAGAATCGCAATCCATGGAGAAAAACGAAGAATAGAAACAAAACCCTTATGAGAATGAATGGGAGAGTGGTACATACCTTGGAAGAAGGAGCAAATATAGAGCCAAAAATCCCAGTGGTGGAAGAATAGGAGCTGTGTTTGGAACCAAACGGGTCAGTAGTGCGAGAAGAAGAGGACTCGGACTCGGACTCGGCACCCACATGCTTCTTTCCTTCCATTTTGATCCTAATCAGTGAAAAACGGAGTAGCCCTTCAATCAAACCCGTCTCCGGATGAAACCCTTTAATGGAGAGAAGAAGATTGCAATGGAAATGGGGGGAAAACAGAGGAGCAGAGAAGGGAAGGGGGAAGAACAGGGGAAGAACAGGGGAATGCTGGAACGCAGAATTGAAACGATGAAGAAACCGCACTTCCCCCACAAATTTATAAGGAAAGGAAGACCGTAAAAATGGAAAAACACAGATTCTGTCAAAATCTCTGCGAATTTCTCATTTGCCTCGATCTCTCGCTCTCTCTCTCTCTAAATTTCTTTTTTTTTTTTTTTTTTTTCTCTCGACTTTCAAGCTGTCAAATGAATTGATTGGATAAATGACACGTGGAGTAGCAAGTCCTCTTTGTGGGACACTCAATAACTGCCAATCATTTGCTGCCACGATTTATCCGACAATGGATAACGACAAAAAGAAATTTATAGCTTAATCTCAAATGATTTTATTTTATTTTTCATAAAAAGCTGTTTTTTTTACCTTTTTGCCCTTTTGTTTCTTTAATTTTTATATTGAAAAGATGAATTTAATAATAGTGGTTGAATTATAAAATGAAAAGAAAAGGCGTCGTTTTGTTAGTTGAAACAATTATTCTTTATTTAATTATTATTGAAATCTAATTTCTACCAAAAACAAAAAAAGGGAAAAAAAAAATTATTTTCCAACCTATCCATCTTTTAATTCTATCTCAAATCTAATTTAGATTTTGTTTTATATTTTTAAATTCAATAAATTAAATAGATTAAACGTTAAATTCCATCACCAAAAATTTAAATTTTAATATTACATCATATTATATTTTATTTTTGTTTTGTACGAAAATAATTAAAGAGACAAATATATACAAAATCAGAGTAGGTGAATTATGAGATTCCACGTCTCTTGGAGAGAGGAACAAAACATTTTTACAATGATGTTTTAAAGTGGACAATATCTCTAGGGACGATGCTGGCACACAAGGGGGTGAATCGTGAGATCTCATCTCGGTTGGAGAAAGGACGAATCATCCCTAAAAAATGTTGATATGTAGCGGGCCAAAACATCTATTACCAATGGGCTTGGACGGTTACAAATGACGGACAGGAATAGGGAATATAATCTCGGATCCCGTTTAGGTAGGAGAAATTTCTCTCACACGCCCTCGTTCATTTTCAAACAAGGATTTCTCGCCCCTAGTTCACGGGTTATGTTTGCATGTTGTGGAGGTCATTAACTTCCCTCTTGCCTAAGGCCCATATCATGTGAAAGAGATGGAGTAAAGTTGGAGTTGAAGAGAGTAGAAGTTGGAAGGATTAAACCAAATGGGATTCAAATGAAATGTTGGTGAAAAGGATATGATTTGAATTACACTAATCCAAGTGGGATTGAAATGAGAGTTATTAGAAGATGGCGACAGGGGAGGCCCCGCACCGCGTGGGCGTTGGGGCTTTGCCGCAGAGGGCCGCCGCATGGGTTGGTGTGTGCCTGACGTTCACCCACTTCCCTTGCCACCTTTCCTCCACATATACCTTCTTTCTGCACTAACCATGTGCTCAACATTCCCTTTCCTTTTAACATTTTCTTCACAAACTCAAAATATTTTTCAAAAATTCAAACCCTTTCTCATATTCTAAACAAGACGTTTATAAAAGCCTAATTGATAATATTGGATTCCAACCTATGGGAGAAAAGCACATCAATATTTGTTGTTGGAATATATTACTTTTAATTTGATCAATTATGTAAGGGTAAAATGGTAAATTTGACTTCGTCTTCTGTGGAGATTAAAGAGGATCGAGAATAAATCCTGGCCACAAACGTTTTTGTCAGTAGCCTATAAACACCCACAATATGTTACATAAAAATGAGATTCGTGAAGGAATGAAATCAAGATCTCAAATTGAGACGTTTCCTTAGAAATCTAAGCATCAATTTTGTCATTCTCGGCCATAAACGTTTTTGTCAGTAGCCTATAAACACCCACAATATGTTATGTAAAAATGAGATTCGTGAAGGAATGAAATCAAGATTTCAAATTGAGACGTTTCCTTAGAAATCCAAGTATCAATTTTGTCATTCCCGGCCACAAACGTTTTTGTGACTCTAAATACCCACAATATGTTAGGTAAATATGAGATTCGTGAATGAATGAAATCGAGATCTCAAATGGAGACGTTTCCCTTCTAAATCCATCATCAATTTTGTCATTTATAAGTTTCAATCAATTTTGTGGTAGAATTGCATCTGAGTCATTCAATCAAGTCTTGATCAAGTTCGATTGTGGAGTGATTCAATTTAGAACAATGTTCCAAATCTTGCTCCTAGATCTTCAATCATGAGTTTATCTCTTAGTTGATCCAAATTTTGTATAAGAAGGTGTTAATTACTTCGACCATTTAAGAGTAATTTAATTCTAGTCTTAAAATTGACTATATATATATATATATAAATAAATAAATGTGGGAGTCAATTTTAGGGAATGAAATTTAACTTTTTTTTTCTAATAAGTGAAAAGAATATATTTATAGGAGTTATATCTAGAATTTCTCGTTTTCTTCCCTAATTTAAATAGAGAAGGAAAACATGTCAACCGATGGCGCCTTGGATAGGGGTTCTACAAGAAGTAGGTCTTATAGCTCGACCTAGCCCTTGTCATCGGCCTCCTTGGCTAAGGACGATGGGGCCAAATTTGATTATATTTTAAGTTACGTCTCGAGACGCTCACGAGATGGTTTTATCGTTAGTTTCATTTTTCTTTTTTTGGACTCGTCCTTTATATCCAAAATCACCAACAACTAATAACAAATATAAAAAGTTGCTTTATAAAATGATTATA